AATTAAAATGGTAATTATAATTATTATAAAAACAAGTGAATATATCCTATTTTTGTCCGATATCAATGGTTCTCCTGATGCAAACTTGTGACGTCAGTTTAACAGAGCCATGGACCTTATATAAGAAATAGACTAACCCAAACGGGTTTTCTCCATTGTCTGAGGCGTTGCCGGCTGTCACCTTGATCACATCCGGAGGAGTAGAAACGACTTGCAGAAATTTAGTATTGGTTGCCTATTGCAGCGTGTATGATTGTCAAGAAAAAGCTGGTTGTAGCGCCTCATTTCACAAATTAGAATTTCTCCATATTTTTATTTTTGAAATTCAGATTGATTTTTAAAAATTTAGCATAATTAACTTTCCAAATAATTATAAATCTATTGCATGCTTTCAGGACTGGATATTTTTTTAGCTTTTCCTATGCTGTAAGGAAATTTGTAACTACTTCTTTTAGAAAATAATATTTTAAATCTGAACTAATAGAAAATTTCAAACAAGCAATTTTCTCTTGCAATTTTTATGCTTTTTATTGGTCTAAATAAGTAAAAAATACTAAAATATTTAAAAACGAATTTTTGAATGTTTTGTTTAAAATTCTAAATTGTGCTGCTTTTTTAAAATTATAGATGAGTATTATAGCACAATTTCTATAAAGGAATTTTATTTCAATTATATTTCGTAGTACATCATAGTGATAAAGACTTTTGACTCCTTAAAAATTTTTATACATTTAATTCTAATATTAAAATTGTATTTAACCGTAATAATTAATTTTGCTTGTATTTTATAGTGATTATTTTTTAATTTATTTTTTATTTACTGTTAATTTAATTTATTAACCCAAAGGGGAGGTAGCCTAGAAAGGCTGTTAGTTTCGAAGCGGCATTTTGCGCTGTTTTACTTTAAATGTCCGTATTTCCTTGCAAATTGTTGTTACCAAATATTATCGCCTTGTATTAAATAATGAAGAGTCTGCATGAATACATGTATGTTTCTCGCACTGTGACAAAAACGACAGTATCTAGAGACTTCAAATTTTGAATAATGTATTCCTCCACCCGAACATAGGCATCTGGACGATGCCTATAGTTTAAATGAAATGCAAGAAAAAAGCGCATATAATTTAATATTCCGTACAAGGTAGTCATGTGGTGTACACATCAGATTTTTTTTGTTTAGGCTACATAATAGGACATTACATCCACTTCATCCAACTCTGTAAAACTACAATTCTTTAATTCCATAAAGTTTAAAAATCTTTAGAACTCTGTCTTACTGTTGCCACTTATTTTTGTTAGATACGAGTATTACTATCCCATTTATCACAGATCGTATTACTATCCCATTTATCACAGCCATGCATTTAGAAGTTGTTATAAAATTAATTTTTACAGCACCTCAGAATTCCTAATAAACGGCCATTATTTGTAAATCTTTAATTGATTTTAATATGTGAAAAAACTGTATTAACATCAAGTGTCACACTGCAAGTTTAAAAAAATGTATTTGAACTTGAGTGGATGAATAAAAAGTATTTTATTATCATGATACAACACTACCAGACACCCACTCGTCTTCAGCCTCTCCATGCGCGCGGCTTTCTTGGTTTTCTTTCTTTTTGTGAAGCTGGTTACTTCCCTTTTCCCATTTCCGACGCTTCCTCACAGCCCGTCCAGACTGTTCAACGTCTTGTGCCCTATTGGGATACTTAGTCATAGAGCCGGCAGGCCCACCAGCGGCCGAGCGGTAAAGACGCTGAACACTGGTAGTTCGGTCTGAGGTTCGAATCCCGCGAACGGGCTGGCTGCATGGGCGTTTTCGTGGTTTTCCCCATGTGTAACGTGTATACGAGCCAGTTTCCCTTAGAAAGTCCTCCACGAAAGGCATCCCTCCCTTTAGGCAGATAGCCCTCGTGTGCTTTGCCATAATTAAATACATCACCACCATAGAGCCGGCAACGTCGCGTGCTTTACAGTGACAGCCCGGCATAAGAGTATATATATATATATAAAATATATTAATAATTGAATATTTGAACAAGATATAGGAAGAATGTGAGCTAATGATAGGAATTTAAAAAAATTAACCTGTTTGTATCTTCTGTTAAAATTATATTCGTGTTTTCAATATACTTTTAAAGACATCCTCGCGATTTGACTTTTATTCGCACACAAACAAGAATGTTGTGATAGTTGAAAAAAATTCCTTTTTAAATATATTTATTTAAAATCAGTTTCCAATTTAACTTTAATGAAAACAAAAATTCCTGTGGTATTTCTTTTGTTAAATCTATCTTATCTGTTTTCTCCCATGATGTAAATAAATATAATACTCGATGTTAGTCAATGCTTTATTTAAAATACACTTTACTGAAATTTCTTTTATCTTTAGTTTCCAGTTGTCTGTCGGGCGAGAAAAGACGGGTTTTTTTTTTTTTTTTTTTTTTTTTTCCCATTTTTCACTGAAACTTTTTTGAAAAAATTTATTCGAAATAACTTGATTTGGAATAGTGCCCTCCTCGCAATTAAATTTGAAAATTCTACAGTCTCTTAAGAAATCACATAAAAAATTATCGCCTGTATATTGTGATGACGAGCATTTTTTATCATTAAATATCACAACAAACGAAATATTCCACGCACGTGATAATGAAAGAAAATTGCAAGCCCTCTACGCACGTGACATAAAAAAAAAAAAAATTGAGATCACTGCCGGAATGATTTAAATGCTGATAAATGAAGCATGGGTGCGCTTTATGTCGTCGAAGAACAAGGTCTTATCTTTTTAGTTTTTTAAATGTATCAGCTGCTTACGCTGGAAATTGTAACTGTACCCATAGTTCCTTTTGCCATTTCACGCGCGCACCTGTTTCCTGTCGTCTGTCGCTGGAACGCGTGCACTTTATCATATTTCAAAGGTAATTTTTTCATAATTTTAACACTGAAGTTTCTACGTGCGTAGATAATCGTCTGTTAATGACTTATCAAGTTTAAAGATTTGTTACAAAAGGGATGGAATATTATATAATTAAAAAGGGGTTCCACATGGCATATGGTTACCTATTTTGTTTGTTGATATAGAAAGCGGAAGGAAAATTAAATGTGTGCTTGAGTACTTAGGTTTTATTTTTTCAAAATAATCCTATTTGTTGATTACTACTTTTAATGAAACATTTTATACGACACAGTTCCATTAGATGTAGTGAAATATGAATTTTCCACCATTAAGGAATTTTAATCATAGTATGAAGAAATCCAAAAATTAATTATATCTTTTTCGGCATTGTACTGTTTTACATTATTCTAATAAAAGATCATGATTTACACGCGGTACAAAGAAACATTTTAAGAGAGAATCAGCGTACGTTTCGTTAAGCTTCAATAAAAATATTGATTTAGAAGAGGAAAGAAGTTAGAAAATCTTTAGCAATTAAGTAGCATTAGAAAACCTAATTTGGAATTTGTTTTATTATCTGTTTCTCATTAATTTGGAATTTGTTGTCAGACGTTAAAGAATTTTTGATTAACTAACTCAACGATTTCAAAGCGAGGAATGGCAGTACTGTACGAAAAATAAATAAATAAATAAAAATTTAAATAAAAAATTTAAAAAAAAAATTTTTTTTTATCTCCAACGCGCGAAGTTAAATCACGCCCCTCTCAGCGTAATGTAAAATCTGAAAACTTTACGGTTTTATTAGTTTTGATTGTGTTTTGTTTATTTAAATAATTCAGACTAAAAAATAAAAATATAATATTTTTAAGAACTGCATACTATATTGCTTACTATATACTTACATATATACTATATTGTTGATCGGTAGTGGACAGATTAAATAAGAATTAATAGCTTACACTTGTCCGAATGGCAACAGGCTAATGAAAAGTGAAGCAATGCATTTACAGTGAACTTCGCAAAATTGCGTTTCGAGTCTAGGCTAATAAATTTAAAAATTTATTAGCGGATATGTATTTCAAAACTGATTAAAGTTCTTTACTGTAAATTTAAATGAAACCCCATTAGCAGTACATTTGATATCACTGCTAGCATTTTTCGTAAAACGTTATTTTAGAATTCGATACAATTAAATGTCAATTCATTGAAAAAAATTCATTAGTAGGTATGTAACTCCTGTCTTTTATTTTTATTATTAACATTAATGTATTTTGATATATATCAATTCGATATATTGTTAAAAAATAGGATTTTAATTCTTAAAATACGGTTTTGCCCCCCGCTAGTAAATCATTGAAATTGTTAAGCAGTTACAAAATGGCTGAATTCGAAAGATGAATTATATATTTTACGTTTTGTCAAATGGCAACATTTTGTAAACTGATAATGAGCGCGATGCGTGGAAGATAAATTCTTTACGTTTCCCGCCTTTGTCAAAGAACTTTGGACTAGGAAACTTGAAACTAAGGAAATTTTTTTGCCTTGTCAACGTGCTAAGATGAGTGGATGCAAATTGAGCATAGGCTGTTAGTTGGATACATTTTTGCCAACTTGACGGGGAAATGGAAACTGTTGCCAATGGGAAAATGACTCCTTTGATGATAACGTCATGGTTTTCTGAATCACTGATTGATAATAAATATGTAACTGATGATAAATAAATGAATAAAGGATAAATGTTGCGCAGTATTTATTTGTAGGTACATCTTAAAATTAATGGCTGATTATTTGTTTCTGATGAACAAGCGAATTGTGGGGTATTAGATGTTCTAAAAATAATGCTTTACAGTGTTGTAAATACGATAATTTTATGAAGTTTTAAATGCATTTGCGATATCGAATCAATAAAAATAAATAAATAAATAAATAAAACTGATTGTTTAGAATACGTACTTTTCCGAATTGACTTAACGTATGTTTTAAATATTTAATTACTTGTAATAAAATCTGATGTTTGGAATAATAATGATATATTTTTGTTTAATTTTTGCGATAAATTGGAGTTAGTTGATTATTATTAAATTTCCTTTTCTTCTTTTTATAGATGATCGAGAACAACATCGAGAAGAACTGCATGTCGGTATGTTTCTTTTTAATACTTTTGTAGTTGAGTGTTTTTAATTTTCTTAATTATATTTTGATTAGTGGCATCGTGTTCAAGTTTGTAACACGATAAAAGTTTTAGAAAGCGAAGTGCCTTGGCATGTTTTACCTTGACATATCGATTTTGGCTCGAAGTCAAAGATAAGGTTTTAGAACGTTTGTCAACAAGAAAAACATGGAAGCCTAATTTGATTCCTATATATCGATGACCATATCGTAGTAAATTTATTCAAAAATGTTCAGTGAAAGTTTGGTTTACGAAGGTAATTCGTTTCTGAAGGCCGTTCGTAAGCCCAAAGTGTTATATCCCCGTTGGAATACTTGTGTAACATCGCCGCCATAACGAACTTCGAGTAACGGAAATTTGTTTCTCTCTATCTGATCGGATAAGATCTCACAAAAAAGTATCAAAATTGATTTGCATTGTCACATCTAACAAAAGTCGTGAATAATAAGTCTCATCAAAAATCATATTAAGATTTAATTGCAGTGTTATTCATTGCACAGTTTTTAAATTCGTTGGTTTTTTCTTTTTTAGCCCGAACGGCTATTAATTTTGTTTTGGAATTTCGCGTTGAAAACTTTAAATACCCGTTTCACTTTTCAAATTGTTGCCACCAAATACTATCGCCCTGTGTTACATTAAAAAAAAATAACGAAGAATCTGCATAAATGTATGTATGTCTGTGTCTCGCACTGTGATAAAACAACGGTACCTAGAGCCGTCCAAATCTGAATAACGTAATCTTCCACGGAATATGGGCATATAGAAGCCCTAATTTCGAATCTGAAATTTGTTTTATTATCGATTTCACATTTTGTAACAATTCAACGAATTTTTGATTAGCAAACTCAACTATTTCAAAGTGAGCCATGGCAACACTGTAAAAAAAAAAAAAAAAAAAAAAAAAAAAAAAAAAAAAAAATCTCCAGCGCGCGAGATCGGAAATTCTAAAGATATGCTCAATTTAAAATTATTTTGCGAAATTGCTGTTGAATTGAAGTTGATGGTTTAAGTGCTTAGAATATGATATTTATTAATAAAAGGTAACGCATTAAACGTTAAGAAAACGCCCGTTTGGCCGTAATGTAAAGTCTGAAAGCTTTCTGATATATTTCCCCCCCCCTTCCAGTCTGTCCAAAGTGTCTGATTCATTCGTTTGCGTTTCTTTGAAGCATTTGTTCAGGTAATTGACGGATTGCGGCTTCGTTGAATGACGATCCTTTTCAGAAATGCTTCTTTAATGTTTATGTCTGTGCTCTTTTTTTCCCTCGTTTCTACTTTTTCCCACGAGTAGAAATTATAGTTTTAATTTTTTTTCATATGATACCCAGCTGTAGGTTTGGATAAATTGTATTTCTGGCAGATATCGGTTGGTTTGACTGCATTCATTTTGTATTTTTGGTGTAATCTTCCTCTTATCTGCTGTGTTATTGTTTTGCTTTAACTCACCCGTCTTCAGTACGGGTGTAGGCTTCCCTAACCACTATGCCGTCTGGGTGACTCACCATATCTACAGTGCCAGAAGCTTTACGTTTACTGCTTGTGCCATGCAGATGAATTTTTGGCAGAGAAACACAATGCGGAAAGTTTGGTCAAAGAATATGTTTTTCTTCAAAGAATGTGTTTTTCTTCTGGAGGCTATTACAAAGGTAGGTAATTTGGTCACGGACGTGTCTTATCTAATGTGCATTGGGAACATAGCCATTTCTCGCAAGGTGTGGATGGTCGATGCCAAAAATTTAATAACATTTGTAAAAAATATCTTATGTCTTACAAAACAACTAAAGCATTCAAAACCCCTATTCGGAGGATAGAATTTAGAGAGCATTTATACTTACCCAAAACAAACCGATAAGCATCAAACTTCCATTGCAAAAAGACGAATCAGTTGTACAGCCCAAAGCAAATAAAATCCGTTGCTTCCTCTTTACTTGAATAGCGAAAATTTCCAAATTTCTAACAAATCATCCACGTTGAATAGAGCTGTCTGTGTCTGAAATCCCAAACAAAGAATTTAAACTTCAATTATAAAACCTATCTACAGTTTTTATTCAATGGTCAAAGACACCATATGGTGTATGCTAATTGCATCCTCATGGTAGATATGCTAATTGCATCCTGATTCTCTTAAGAGTTCTGTGTCTCTTTGTTTGAATAACCTTTGCAATGTAGTAAAAGAGGAATGGAAGTCAATGCCCCTGGAAATTTTACCGAAAGGCCTTCCTATCATGGAAATCACGGTGCAGACTTGCAGTCCAGAAAAAAAGGCTATATCCAACATTTTATATATTAATTAAACGACCTCGAAATCGTTCTAAAAATATGTGTAGAGTCATAAGGTTCTTTTTTTGGGGAGGGGGGGAGCAAGAGACGTGAAAAACGTGCAATGACTTCACCGGGACTCAAACCCTGGAGCTGTCGAATACGCGTCGAGTATACTTCCAATTATACGAATGCAAGCAGAAAGGAGGGGAAAAATATCTTATATACTCCCCCAACCTAAAGGATGACTGAGGATGAGGGGACCCAATCGCCAAATACTGGTGGTGACGAATTATCATCCACCACCTTTGAGTTCGAGCGCCACTGTAGAGACATTTGTTTTTTTTGTAATAGGAGACATGAAAAATGTGCAGTGTCCTCGCCAGCACTAAAACCTGAACCTCTAGAATACGCGTCGGGTAATTAAGCTTCCAATTACACCACAAAGGCATGCATGCGCAGAGGAGGGTGAAAATGCCATATATGCCTAAACACCCTCTGAAAAGAGAAGTATATTCTATCATATAGTAGAATAGGAACAAGAGATTAAATAATTCTCTTTACAAAACTCATCGACAATTTTAAATTCTCTTAATAAAATTCATCGACAATTTTAAATTCTCTTTACAAAATTCATGGACAATTTTAAATTCTCTTTACAAAATTCATCGAAAATTTTCAATTCTCTTTACAAAATTCATCGAAAATTTTAAATTCTCTTTGCAAAATTAATGGACAGGAATAATGGCATGGGATCAGGAATCCCATGCCATATCAGGAATAATGGCATGGGCAGCTAAGTAACAAAAATAATTTGCTAATTTGTTTTCGTGCGCGTTTTAAAATGTTTCCAAAATGAGACCTGGTCTAAACTGAGTCCCTGCAAATATCATTAAAATTTGGCTTACATTAAAAATGCTGGAATTTTCTTCCTGAACTTTTTCTTATTTTACAAAATTAGTCTTCTCGATTTTATTACATTCATTGAAATGGCTTTACTTCTCTTTAATTGTCTGTCTCTCACCCCTTATAACGTTTAAAGACTTCTTTAGTTTTCAAAGAGAGCTAATGAACTTTCACTGTTATCATTTCCGTGAAAGTAGCTTGTCTTGGTATTAAAGAACATCGCAGATAAGATAAAGATAACTACGTTGATTAAGTATGAGCCAATAAGATAAATATGTAAAGTTCTCAAGTTGCCATCGTAACAACGTTTCATTTCCTTTGCGAACAAAACTATTAGAATCTACGCTCGTCTGTGTGTTTGTTACTTGTTTGTGGCATCATCTCCCCTGAAACGCGGGTAGTTGAGTTTCGAGAGAGTTTGTTAGTAAAAAAAATGTGAGTTTAAGAATAAGATAATTGACACGGTATATTATTGCCACGTTCATTCTTTTATTGATATTGAGAAAAAGTTGTTATATTACCTGTTATATTACATTAAATTTAAATCATGACGTCATACGTATACGTATTAACCTGATGTGTCAGAAGTTTTTGTTTCCTGGTTTGGCAGAAAAACAATTATTAGTTCAAAGGAGCAGTTTGCCCAGAAGGACTATTAATTTCGTTTTGGGCATTTTGCGTTGATTCACTACAAGCATTGTTTCACTTTTCAAATTGTTGCCACGGAATATCATCACCCTGTATTATTATATATAAAGAAATTAAATAATGAAGAATCTGCATCAATGTATGTATGTATGTTTCTCGTATTTAAAGGTGAGCTCATTTTAAAATTATTTTGCGATATTGCTATTGAACTGAATTTTATGGTTTAAGTGCGAAGAACATGATATTTAATAAATAAAGGTAACACGCAAAACGTTAAAAAAACGCCCTTTGGACTAATTTAAAATCTGAAACCTTTCAGAGTTTTATATTTATTATTATTATTATTATTAGAAGGGCACAGTTTCGATCCTCCTAGCTGGCACAAGCGGGCCGTATGATCAAAAAATGGGACTGGCCTGAAAAAAACAAATATAAGAAAAAAACAAAAAGTCCAAAATCTGAATCTCAGTGACGAATTCCAATTATCTTTGTTCGTATTTATAATTTTGATTATTGTCTTTTCAAAATCTTTCAAATTTCAATAGTTTCTTTTAAAATCTTCCTTAAAATTCTCTCTATATTTCTCTCTTACACTCCGGGTAAGCGTACATTCATCGACGAAGTGCCTGGCGTCCCCAAACTTGTCACATATTAAGCATTTATCATTATTCTGTAGATGGAACCGATTAAAATATGAAATATATTTTCCGATTCATTTCGAAGAAACGAAAGTACTTATCAGCAGTTAATAAATGATGTAAAAATGCCAAAATGACTAATAAGGAAAACACTGGACTACTGGCCTTTGAATCGTTAGGATGTGATGTTCGTAGAAAACAAAAGTACATTCATTTATCCTGTTAAAGAAAGTGTGAGTACTATACAGTATTACGTGACAGACGTTATTTCCCGTACTTCATGAAAACTCATGTGAGTACTGCACACGCACGACGTGACAGAATGTTGAAAGAACTTTCAACCAAATACAAAAACTATTGAACTGTACCTTTGTAAGTCTTGCCAGAAGAAACAGAAAGGTATTAAAAAGGTGCATTTGTTGTGAAACTTATGATTTTTTTTAATGTAATTTCCGTTGTCAGGTAGATCTTGCCTATTCCCAGTCACAGCCAGATTACAAATTTATTTTATTGTATGAA